TTCCCTGCAGTCAATTCCAGCGGACTCTTTCCACTGCACCACTGATTGCCATTATCTCTGGGTGAATTCATTAGTTTGACTTTTTGCTGATTACCTTTTCTTGAGGCCACCTCACTCTACGAATCAACAATGTGTTTGCCTCAGATAATCACCGGACAACCCGGCGAGCAACCTGGACATAACCTGGTTCGGCTCTCGGCAACTAAGCCACCAAAGGCTGGATCAACACCTACCCCCTTGGTCAGTGGCAGTGTTCCACCGCACATCTCCCACAGCGAAGTCAGGTCGTGGGAGGCATGCTCCTGGGGCTCACATACAACGTTACCAATTCGGTTTTGCAAGCTACTTGATGGAACACTTGAGCTCAGACATACAGAACAGAGCACTGCAAGCTTCCTCTAAGTTTAGAAAACTCCCAGGGCCAAGGCAGGTGGCATCTGAGACACATCTGTGCTTTGTCTTTCCTCCTACACGGCATGTCTAAGAAACCCAACGGCGGCTCCCAGCTCACCACAAATACTCATGAAGCGAAGGACGCTGCTGCTGCCCTGCCTGGTGAGGCAAGTCAGCTGTGGCCTCGCTGGCCCACTGCCATACACAACACTGGTGGCTGGGCAGTGTGTGCGTCATCGCAGAAAGGCCGCATATCAGAGGCCTTCTAATCTTATCTGACAGCCACTGATGATCGAGCGCTCATCACATGGTAACAACCCACGTGTCAAGCCCCAGAACTGGGAGCTAGAACCAGGGCCGAGAGAACAGCCGTGGCCAACGGGAAAATCAAGTACATCAGCCTGAGGGAGAAGCAGTGGGAACGACAACGTGACACCTGGCCTGAGACCATTCTCCCTAACCTGGCTTGTGCAGCTGCCTGCCAGGATGGCGGGGCACCCCCAGGCACCACGGCCTCATACAGAGCCTCCATGACCCTCAGAGGCCCAGAGCAGGGCGCCTGCCAGCTGGTCATGAATGCTGGGGAGCACCCTGTCAGCCTCCCTCTCAAGGACGGTCAGGAAGTAGTCTACGGCCTACTTTGATCATGAAGCGCCAGGACACTCCCCAGCTCTTCTGTGCCATGAATACACCCGCAGCAAACACCTTGGATGATCTTTTCAGACAAAGCCTGCCTGGTGCGCGCAGCACCTGAGCCTACAGGGAGGTAGCAGCAGGTGAATTCCAGAGCCAACGTAATCTGATTCCCCCCAAAAAAAAAATAGGCCGATAGGAGGCGAATCGTGGAGGAGCTGTCACTCCTGGCAGGCGTCTGCCGGATGCCCGCCGTTGGGAAGGTTTGGGTTGTTCCTGATGATTCATCTTTTCAGTGGCAGAGTAGCTGGAGGAGGCACATGCTGCAGACATGCAGCCCACATTCCTGTGAACTGCCTGTGGCAGCTCTTACAGGAACAGTAACCTCAGACCGATGGTGGCGAAGGGACTGCCAGAGCCCACCTGTTTAGAATCCCACCAAGGGGGGCTCGGGCCCAGTGGCTCAGTAACTCCGCACTTTGGAGGCGAGGCGGTGGGATCACGGGGCGTTCCAAGAGATGGAAGACCATCCTGGCTAACAACGGTGAACCCGTCCTGGTACTAAAAAACAAACAAAGTTAGCCAGGCGCAGTGGCGGTCACCTGGTCAGTCCCCAGGCTACTCCGGAGGCAGAGGCAGGAAGATGGTGTGAACCTAGGAGGCGGAGCTTGCAGTGAGCTGAGATCGCACCACTGCACTGGGGGTGACAGAGCAAGTCTGTCTCCAAAAGAGTCACGGCGCGGCGGCGGGCTCAAAGCCTGTAATCCAGCACGTGTGGAGGCCGGAGACGGGCGGATCACCGAGGTCAGAGATCCGAGACCATCTGCTAAACACGGTGAAACGTCTCTTACTAAAAATACAAAACACTAGCCGGGGGGCGAGGTGGCGGCGCCTGTAGTGCCAGCCTCCGGAGGTCTGAGGGCCGAGAATTGGCGTGACCGGGGCAGGGGAGGCGGAGCTTGCAGGTGAGCTGAGATCCGGCCCACTGGCATTTCCCAACCTGGGCGCAGGAGCGGAGGACTGGCCGGCTCAAGAAGAAAATAATTGCAGTGCTCTGTTCTGTTGTCTGAGCAAGTGTCCATCAAGTAGCTTGCAACCAGAATGGTAACTTGTATGTGAGGGCCCCAGGAGCATGCCTCCCACTGACCTGACTTCTTGGAGATGGTGGACATGCCACTGGACAGGGGGTAGGTGTTGATCCAGCCTTGGGTGGCTTGTTGCCGAGAGCCAACAGTTATGTCCAGGTTGCTCCGGGTGTCCTGATTATCTGAGGGCAAACACATTGTTGATTCTAGAGTGAGGTGGCTCAAGAAAAGGTATCACAAAAAGTAAACTAATATTCACCAGAGATAAGGCAATCAGTGGTGCAGTGGGAAAGAGTCCTGGAATTGACTGCAGGAACAAACCTGTCTGGATGGTGAGTTTTCCAAAAGCGTGAGTAATTCTTTAACTATTCTAGATGGAATGCTTAAACATTTTAATTATATTTCTTCTATCCTTTTCAAATATTTTTTATTTAATTAATTCATTTATTTATTTTTGAGATGGAGTTTTGCTCCTGTCACCCAGGGTGGAGTGCACAATCTCAGCTCACTGCAACCTCCGCCTCCTAGGTTCAAGCAATTCTCCTGCCTCAGCCTTCCGAGTAGCTGGGATTACAGGTGCCTGCCACCACACCCAGCCTATTTTTGTATTTTTAATAGAGACGTGGTTTCGCCATGTTGGCCAGCTGGTCTTGAACTCCTGACCTCAGGTGATCTGGCAAGATAAGATATAAGGCCTGATATGCACGCCTTCTGCGAGTGACCACACACTGCCCCAGCCACCAGGTGTTGTATGGGCAGGTGGTGGGCAGCAGGCACAGCTGCACCTGTGGGCCTCACCAGCAGGGACAGCAGCAGCGTCCTTCGCTTCATGTAGTATTTGTGTAGCTGGGAGCCCCGGTTGGTTTTCTTAGACATGCCTAGGAGGAAAGACAAAGCACAGATGTAGTCCTCAGATGCCACCTGCCTGCCCTGAGTTTCTAAACCTAGAGGAAGCTTGCAGTGCTCTGTTCTGTTGTCTGAGCAAGTGTCCATCAAGTAGCTTGCAACCAGAATGGTAACTTGTATGTGAGGGCCCCAGGAGCATGCCTCCCACTGACCTGACTTCTTGGAGATGGTGGACATGCCACTGGACAGGGGGTAGGTGTTGATCCAGCCTTGGGTGGCTTGTTGCCGAGAGCCAACAGTTATGTCCAGGTTGCTCCGGGTGTCCTGATTATCTGAGGGCAAACACATTGTTGATTCTAGAGTGAGGTGGCTCAAGAAAAGGTATCACAAAAAGTAAACTAATATTCACCAGAGATAAGGCAATCAGTGGTGCAGTGGGAAAGAGTCCTGGAATTGACTGCAGGAACAAACCTGTCTGGATGGTGAGTTTTCCAAAAGCGTGAGTAATTCTTTAACTATTCTAGATGGAATGCTTAAACATTTTAATTATATTTCTTCTATCCTTTTCAAATATTTTTTATTTAATTAATTCATTTATTTATTTTTGAGATGGAGTTTTGCTCCTGTCACCCAGGGTGGAGTGCACAATCTCAGCTCACTGCAACCTCCGCCTCCTAGGTTCAAGCAATTCTCCTGCCTCAGCCTTCCGAGTAGCTGGGATTACAGGTGCCTGCCACCACACCCAGCCTATTTTTGTATTTTTAATAGAGACGTGGTTTCGCCATGTTGGCCAGCTGGTCTTGAACTCCTGACCTCAGGTGATCCACCGGCTTCGGCATCCCAAAGTGTGGGATTACAGGCGTGAGCCACCGTGCCCGGTCTATTTTTCATTTTTGAGAGGGAGTCTCGCTCTGTTGTAGTGCAATGGCGCAAACTCGGCTCACTGCAACCTCTACCTCCTGGGTTCAAGCTATTCTCCTGCCTCAGCCTCCCGAGTAGCTGGGACTGCAAGCGCCCACCACCAGGCCTGGCTAATTTTTGTATTTTTAGTAGAGATGGGTTTCACCATATTGGCCAGGCTGGTCTCGAACTCCTGACCTCAGGTGATCCACCTGCCTTGGCCTCCCAAAGTGCTGGGATTACAGGCATGAGCCACCGCGCCTGGCCTTCTTCTATCCTTTAAAATATTATAGGCTGGGCACAGTGGTTCATGTCTGTAATCCCAGCACTTTGGGAGGCTAAGGCAGGTGGATCGCTAGAGGCCAGGAGTTCGAGACCAGTCTGGACAACAAGGCAAGACCCCTATCTGAACAACAACAATAATAAAAATTAGCTGGGGGAGCTGGCATGTGTCTGTAGTCCTAGCTGCTTGTGAGGCTGAGGTGGGAGAATCGCTTGCACCCAGGAGTCTGAGGTTGCAGTGGGCTATGATTACACAATTGCATTCCAGCCCAGGTGACAGAATAAGACTCCATTTCTAAAAAAAGTAGAAAATAGAATAAAACAAGTATCATAATTTTCTTGATAAAGGATGGCAATTACCTGATCACCGGTAATGTATAGTCCTTTAGCAGGGTGATAACTTGAGGGCCTGTGGGGCAGACTGTAAGGACTGTTTGCCCTCTTCTAAGTGGAGCCAGAAAGCTGCCTTAGAAAATCACTGCATCTGCTTCTTTCTTTCCTTTTCCTGCTAGTCAGGTTGTCACCCGTGGGTCTGCTAAAGAAAACCCTATTGGCCAGGCACAGTGGCTCACACCTGTAATCCCAGCACTTTGGGAGGCTGAGGTGGGCAGATCATGAGGTCAGGAGTTTGAGACCAGCCTGGCCAATATGGTGAAACCCCGCCTCCACTAAAAAATAAAAAAATTAGCCAGGCATGGTGGCACACACCCATAGTTCCAGCTACTCAGGAGGCTGAGGCAGGATAATTGCTTGAACCCAGGAGACAGAGGTTGTAGTGAGCCAAGATCGCGCTACTGCACTCCAGCCTGGGTGACAGAGTAAGACTCTGTCTCTCAAAAAAAAAAAAAGAAAACCCTCTCTCTCGTCTCTCAGTCTGTGCTTAGTAATCAGCTAGGTACTGGGAGAACAAGGGCATGGCCTCCTTGGAGCTGTTTGCTGCTTGTTTGTGTGGTATGTTTCCCTTAAGCATTCCCTTCCCTGGAATGCTGTGCCCCATCCACCCTGCATGCCTGTGCAGCCTTTCAGACTCAGATCAACTGTCATCTCTTCCAGAAAACCATCTCTGACTCCCCACTCTGGAGGGGCCGAGTGTCTATCCCGAGGAGTGCTCCCACAGTCCCCCCATATTGAAATCACCTGTCCATTTGACTGCCTCCTACCAGACGACAACAGACCACACCCCAGTCATGTGGGTGCACTAGCCTCAGCCCAATCCTGGGCCGTCAGCTGCTCAGAGGGGTGTGTGAACGCAGCCGGTGCCAGTGCAGGGAAAGTGTGGAGAGTGGAGTCTGCTCAGGGTCCTTGGGTGCAGGTTTATGCTTCTCAGCTTAGGCTGGAGAAGCAGAGCCAGGCAAGCGCCGGCCTCCAATGACCGTACAACACAGCCAAGGCCAGGGCTCAGGGGGCTCTAACTGCTTCTCCGTCCCTACCTCTGGGACCCTCAGGGCTGCCCACGTTGCACCCCTGTTCTGCCTGCCTCCACCACGAGCGGCTGCACTGCTGAGGGTTACCTGGGGGAACAAGCTGGCTGGCGGTCAGGTACTTCTTATCTGAGAACATGGCGGTCCAAAATTTAATCATGATGCTTATGTCTTCACGCAGCCGCTTCTCTCCTTGAGTAGGGAACTTTGGGGGACAGCTTCAAACAACCATAAGAGGACAAGGGCTGAGTGTCTGGAGTTGGGGACTAGAGGCCAGTCACACAAAGCAGTGAGAGGTGATGTACACAGTTTCTTAATGACAAAGGGTCAGCCCAAAGCCCGTCATTAGCAAGGATGATCTGGCCCATTCCCATGGGAAGGTGTGGTGGCTCCAGAGCCCTCTTATGCCCTCCTCCCTCACTGCCCACAGCAGCCCCTACAGCTTTCCACTGAAGCTGCGCTTGTGGCAGATCAGGGCAACAAAGCTGCACTCATACAACAGCACAGTCTATGGGTGCAGAGCCCCAGGCAGTGGGTGTTTGCAATTCTTTGTGCAATAAGCCTTCACATTAACAGGGAAATTAAATGGACGCACTTAATCTCCTAAATCAGTTGAACTGAGGGAAAATTTGCCTACATCTCGCTGGGAGGCTAGCTCTCAGTACACAGGACACATGCACAGGGCTGAGGGTATTTAAATCCAGGGGGCCAGGGCTACTGAAGGAGGAGGTTGGTGAGCACAACTGGGCAACTGTGTACTCCTGTGAGTGACTTCCTGGAGGTCTGGGGCGGTAGAGCACTTGCAGGGGCTGGGCCATCCCTGGACGCTGCACAGCACACCTTGGGGGAGTACCTGAAGTAGTCAAAGGCGGTGGAGTAGATCTTCTCGCGAAGCACATTGCGGATGGTTGCATTTGGAACCACGTCAGCATGCAGGAGGGACAGCCCCAGGGTCAGCAGCCTGTGAGGGAGCCCGGGACCCAGTCAGAGCAGGAGCCTGGCCTGGGGCCAAGTTCACCCTCTGGACTCTCTTCCCTGCCCTTCCAGGAGCAGCTCACTGAAATGTGTTCCCTGTCTACGGAAGTACTGTGACACACAGACGCCCCACGACACACTGTACACACCAGGGGCCCTGTGCTCCCCAGGAAGAGGGCCCTCACTTGAAGCGGGGCCCGATGGCCGCCACATGCCGGTTCATGCTCCCCTTGGCCCCGCCGATGTTCAGGGACATGGAGCGCTGCAGCAGGCTGGAGAAGATCTCCACTTGGTCAGAGCTGCAGTACTTGGCGATCTCAAACCGCTGCACCAGGAACTGAGTGAGAAGAGGAAGACACTGTGGTGGTGGGGCTGCGCTGGGCTAACCCTGGGACCGGCAGAGACAGCTGAGGAGGGGCTCTGGGCTGACTGGCCGGGCTTGCCAGAGGCTGGAACAGTCAGCCCCTGAGGTCACAGCGTCTGAAAACCTGCAGGCCTCGGGTTCGGCTACCCCCACCCCAAGAACAGTCCTGGCCCCCCCAGGTGGAGCACCCCAGAGCCTTGGTGGGGGAACAGGCACGTACGTCGATCCAGATGTAGTGGGGGGTCACTTCGGGAGGACAGGGTTTGGGCTGACTCGCTTCCGAGGCGGCCAGGGGGTCTGCTTCCTTTATCTCAGCAGAAAACAGGCCAAACTTCTGCTCCACCGTCATGTGCCAGGCCCCTGCCATCTCCCGCATGAACTACAGGTACAGAAGGAATGTTAGCTCCTCTGTGAAACACAAAAAGGGGCTACTGTCATGTTTTCTCTAATTAAAAAAAAGGAACATATGCTCACTGAGTAAGATTTAGAAACCGAGAAAAGTATGAAGAAAAAAATGAAGATCGCCTATAGTCCCACATCCCAGGGTCATCCGTGTCAGTGCTTGGTGTATTTTCTCCAGCCTCTCGAGGTTGCATTCTGTTCAACCCAGTTCACGGTGTGGACGTTGCAGGGTGTGAGATGGCAGCACCTGGGATGTGCCTGATGCCCTGACAGGCACTGGGTAGCTGACTTTTCTCTATAACCCTGAGAACCCTCTGTAGCTGTGAGCGGGAAGACCCCTGTGGGGGCTGCTGAGCTGGCAAGGGCAGAAGAGGGTTCTGGATCCAGAGCCTGGCTCCTCCCCTCCACCCCACACAAACCCTGCCCGAACCTTCATCCCACTAACCAGATCAGGAACAGCCCATGGAGCTGAGGAGAGCCTGCAGCCACCATGGCTAGGCCTGGGAGCCCAAGCTCAGGCTGCTCCCACGGCCCAGTCATGCTCAGCCAGGTCCCCATTCCTTGGGGAGGCATGAGGGGTGCCCAGAGGGAGCAGCATAGTGCCAGGGAGACACCTAGGTGCTGGAGAGAAGAGGTGCGGCTCACATGTGGAAAGCCCCCACAATTTCTGGGTGTTTTTACAAGGAGACCAAGAAACAGCATTTGGCATCTGGCCATAAAGGATTTCTATCCCTCTATTGTCCCAGCAACACCAACTCCTGCAAGGGCTCCAGGTGCCTGTGCAGACGTGCAACAAGGCCCAGTGAGCAGAACACACACCGAGGCTCCTCTCCAGTACCCATCCCCTCCCTTCTTCCTCATGAGGTGGATCAGGGTGGCCACGTGGCCAGTCATGGAGCTCTCAGCCAGGCTCCCTGCTGGCTGGGGCAGCCACTGTTCTCCCCGGCCACTCTAATGAGCCAGGGAGAGCGAACTGGGCAAGGCCCTGGGAATGCATGCCAGGGTGAGCTTCATAAGGTCAAGGCAGCTGGCCTCTGCCTTTTGCACTCTGCTCTTGTCTTCCTTCCTGCTGCGAGGCACAGAAGCCATCTGGAAGCCGTGAGGGTAGAGACAAAGGCCACATAAGCCCAAGATGGCCAGGAGCCGACAGGAGCCTGGGGTGGGGCTGCACTACTCTGTCTGCTGCTTCCCTCTAAGCTGCCCATGGGGTGAGGACTCCTGGGGGACGAGACACTAGAACCACTAGAACCTGCTTTCTGTTTCCTGAAGACCGATGTAGTCTTATGGAAACAGACAAGGGAGCAAAAAATGTGTCAGGGGGGAACCCCAGAACTGCCAGGGATGAGAAGCCACGGCAGAGCCACACTCCCACCTATTTGTTAAACAACCACATCCTGGTGGCTGCCTCTGTGCCAGGGCCTCGTGGGCTCTGGGCGTGGTGCCGCAAATGAAGACAAACATGACCACACAGTCTACGGTGGGGACCACAGACAATAAGAAATAAGCTACACACACTGAGAAACACTAAGAAACAGCAGTGCGAGTGAGCGTGTGACAGACCTGGTGGTCAGGGAGAGCCCTGGCAAGGAGGGGACATCTGAGATGAGCCCTGGAGGAGACGCAGGAGTGAGGCGCAAGGCACGGCTGTCTGAGAAGAGGGAGTGTATGACACGGCTTATGGTGGGAGCAGCCCAGGAGGGCAGCTTCAAAAGTGAAGCTGACGGGATGTGCGGAGAATCATCCATGGGAAGTGCAGGCCGGACCCCAGCATGGCCACAGCACAGCAAGCGAGGGGAGGAGAGGGGATGGAAGTTGGGTGGGAAGGGGGCTTGCAGGTCACAGAAACAGGCCCGCCTTCGAGTCTGTAGGGGGGTCTGATTCCCCCCTGGCTTGCGCCAGCTGCATGTGGAGAAGGGGAAGATGCCTGGGGGTGGGGAGCAGGAGGCCAGGCCAGGGGGCAGCAGCTGGGATGCTGGGACTTGTCAGATCCTGGATAAACCTCAAAGGTGAAACTGATAGGATGTGCTGAGAGTCATCTGTGGGATGTGCACAAGAGGAAGTCAAAGATGTCTGAGCAGAGGGAAGGACCTCGCTGGCATCTACAGTGAAGGGAAGGACCATGCTGGCATCTACAGCGAAGGAAGGGGCCATGCTGGCATCTGCAGTGAAGGGAGGGACCTCACTGGCATCTACAGTGAAGGGAGGGACCTCGCTGGCATCTATAGTGAAGGGAAGGGCCACACTGGCATCTACAGCGAAGGGAGGAACCTTGCTGGCATCTACAGGGAAGGGAAGGGCCACACTGGCATCTACAGTGAAGGGAGGGACCTCGCTGGCATCTACAGGGAAGGGAGGGGCCACGCTGGCATCTAAAGTGAAGGGAGGGACCTCACTGGCATCTCACATGAAGGGAGAGACCTCGCTGACATCTACAGTAAAGGGAGGGGCCACACTGGCATCTACAGTGAAGGGAAGAACCACCCTGGCATCTACAGTGATGGCAGATGGGCGACCAGTGTAGGGGTGTCTGGAGCTGAGGTTGGACCCATTAGTTGGGGCTGCTAATCAGTTCACCACGCGGGCTGTGGGCCAAGCCACCGAAGGGATGCACCTGGACTAGGGGTGACTGGGCTAGGTAAGCAGTGGAGCTGGCCAGACTGCCCAAGCAGGAAGGAGGAGCCCTGGGGCATGCCAGTGCTGAGAAGGCCCTGGGCTCAAGAAGGTCCCTTTATTCTGGAGGATGAAAGGGCTACAAAAATTACAAAGGCCTTAAGTCCCTGGGAAGGACTGTTAGGCTCCCACAACAGTTGCTTTCAAGTCCCAATGCTCTGAAGGAGGCTGTGAGCAGCTTTCCCTGAGCTGATCTGTCCTCCTACTACCTGGGACCTGCTAGTGATATCCGTACTCCATCTGCCCTGCCCCAGGGGTCCCTGGAGGCTCATTCAACCCACTCTTATCTGAGGACCAGACAGGGAGGCCAGAGGTTAAAGGGCACCTAGACTAAGGAAGTGGAGAGGAGAGGAATGGATCCGGGCTCTGGAGCCCCAGGCACAATGTGAGGGCTGACCCGTGATCAGGAGCACACCCACTGCCCTGTGAAATGGGAACAGCTGCAGCCCTTACTCTTTTTTTTTCTGAGACGGAGTCTCGCTCTGTCGACCAGGCTGAAGTGCAGTGGTGCAGTCTCAGCTCACTGCAAGCTCCACGTTCCGGGTTCACACCATTCTCCTGCCTCAGCCTCCCAAGTAGCTGGGACTACAGGCGCCCGCCACCTCCCCCAGCTAATTTTTTGTATTTTTAGTAGAGACGGGGTTTCACCATGTTAGCCAAGATGGTCTCGATCTCCTGACCTCGTGATCTGCCTGCCTTGGCCTCCCAAAGTGCTGGGATTACAGGTGTGAGCCACCGTGCCCGGCTTAATTTTGTATTTTTAGTAGACATGGGTTTCTCCATTTTGGTCAGGCTGATCTCGAACTCCCGACCTCAGGTGATCCACTTGCCTCGGCCTCCCAAAGTGCTGGGATTACAGGCGTGAGCCATTGCGCCCGGGCAAGCAGCCCCTACTCTTAAGGCCTGGCAAGGTCTCAGGCTGAAGCAGCATGTGAAAAGGAATCCTGACCACAGCAGCACTGTGTCCTGACGGTCACAATTTGTGGTGAAACCAAGGCTTCCAGAAGACCCTGAGAGGAGGGCACATGTGTCCTCTCCTGGGAAGTGGAGAGTCCCACCAAGAGACAGTGTGTAGGCAGGTGTGTGCAGGCAGGTGGGCGCCCTGGGCCCACACAAGAGTGAGTGTGGCTAAGACTTCCCAGGATCGGGCCCCTCCTAAGCCCAGAGGAGGACAGTCTCAGGGTATGGGGGAAACTGTACCATAAGCATAGACCCCAAGGCCTGGGCTAGATGGATAAGAGAGTGATATACATATAATGCCCTGCTCAAGCTCGGCACATGGCAGGACCAGAGCAAGTTATCAGTTACTACCTAGTGCAGCCCACATCCATTTATTTTGGGTCATGAATTTTAAGTACCATACAAGGATCACGAACCTTTCCCCTCTCAGTGAAATGAAGGTCCCAGACCCCTGTAAGGAGGTCAGGCTCCCCACTGTCCCCACACTGAGATGCAAACAGCAAGTGTGACATCTCTTTATCTCTTTGGGAATGCAAGAAAAGACATCAGTGATTCAGTGGTTGCTTCTGAAGTTGGGCAATTCTTATTTCTCTCATTACACTCAAACCTTCCACTTTTTCCATCATGAGTGGACATTGCTTTTATAGTAGAAAAAAATTTAAAAAGCCCCCACCCTGGGCACTATGGGAACTGGACAGGTCAGGTCCTTGTGGTGGCAGAGACAGGGAGTGAGGACCTGAATGGCCAGTGCCAGGTGTGAGTGTGAGTGGGTAGAGAAACCTGACACAGGTGAAGGGACCTGAGGCCAGCTGAGCCACTGGAGATGGCAGGGGCAGGAAGTGCAAGCTGGACTCCAAAAGACCCCAAACGAAACAGTAATTTGGTTTGTATAAAAATCCCTTTAAGATATCTTTCCCAATTTTGCTTAAATTAAAAAAAAAAAAAAAAAAGGAAGTGGGGTAAAAAGCAGGAAGAACCCATACTTCCTGTCAAGACCAGCTACTGAGTGGGAGGAGGAGCCACCAGACATAAGAAAGACACTTCAGCTAGGCGTGTTGGCACACACCTCTAGTTCCAGCTACTGGGTCAGGAGGCTGAGGCAGGAGGATCACTTGAGCTCAGGAATTTGAGGTCAGCCTGGGCAACATAGCGAGACTGTGTCTTCAAAAAAAAAAGAGAGAAAAAAGAAAAAAATAGAAAAAAAAAAAAAGACCTCCTTCTCTATGGGAAAATATACAGCAGTCCTCAACTGTCAGTTTTATTTAAATGTACAACATCCAGTATAGAAACAAAAACTTTCAAACAGTGAAGAAAAAAGATCAAAAGAAACAGACCCACAGATGACTCAAATACAAGAACAGACCAGATAAGGATACAAAAATAATTACAATAAATATGCTCAAAGATTTATAAGAAATAATGGAAAGAATGGGTGAAGGTAAGAGAATCTCAGCAGAAAATGCAAACTATAAAAAAGAATTAAATGACTGGGCGTTGTGGCTCATGCCTGTAATCCCAGCACTTTGGGAGGCTGAGGCAGGTGGATCACCTGAGATCACGAGCCAAGACCAGCCTGGCCAACATGGTGAAACCCTGTCTCTACAAAAATTAGCCAGGCATGATGGCGGGTGCCTGTAACCCCAGCTACTCGGGAGGCTGAGGTGGAAGAATCATTTGAACCCAGGAGGCAGAGGTTGCAGTGAGCCGAGATTGCGCCACTGTACTCCAGCCTGGGCGACAGAGTGAGACCCCATCTCAAAAAAAAAAAAAAAAAAAGAATTAACTAGAAATCCTAGAATCCTAGATCTGGAATTGTTTCCTTTGTTTCCTTTTCTTATTTTTAAATTAAATTTAATATTTATTTTTTTTGTTGTTGTTTTCTAGATCTGAGAATTGTATCTGAAATAAAAATACACAAGATGGCTTTATAGCAGAATGAATAAAGCAGAAGAAAAGAACAGTGAACTGGCATATAGGTAAAAAAAAAAAAAAAAAAAAAAAACCAAATGAAAGAGTGAAAAAAATCCTGAAAAACTGAAAAAGACTACAGAGAACGTCAATGATCTATGGGGCAATACCAAGTCACTAATATATGTGTACCTGGAATCCCAAAAGGAGAAGAGAGAGAGAATGAGGTAAAAAAAAATTAAAAAATATTGACTTTAGGAGCCTAGGAAGTAAATAGGAATTTTTTTTAAAAAAAAAAGGCCGGGCGCAGTGGCTCACGCCTGTAATCCCAGCACCCTGGGAGGCCAAGGTGGGTAGATCACAAGGTCAGAAGATCGAGACCATCCTGGCTAACATGGTGAAACCCCGTCTCTACTAAAAATATAAAAAATTAGCTGGGCATGGTGGCGGGCGCCTGTAGTCCCAGCTACTCAGGAGGCTGAGGCAGGAGAATGGCGTGAATCCGGGAGGTGGAGCTTGCAGCAAGGTGAGCCGAGATAGCGCCACTGCACTCCAGCCTGGGCGAAAGAGCGAGACTCTATCTCAAAAAAAGAAAAAAAAAAAAAAAGAAAAGAAAAGAAAAGAAAAAAGGAAAAGAAAAAGAAATGACAAATCAATATTGACCTAAAGATTTCCAAGTTTGATGAAAATCCTAAATCCCTAAAATTAAGAAGCTCAATGAATTCCAACAGGATAAATACAATGAAAATCACACACAGTCAAACTACTAAAAATGAAAGGTAAAGAGAAACATCCAACAAGTAGCCAAAAGAAAAACAATAACATATACAGTCATCCCTTGGTATTCTCAGGGGAACTGGTTCCAAGATGTGGAACCCATGGATAAGGAGGGCTGGCTGTACTGAGAAACAGAAAGACTGTTGACTTCTCTCCAGAAACAATGCAAGACAACAGAAGGTATATTTGAAATGCTAAAAACAATAAAATAAAAAACTATCAACCTAGAATCCTGGGCCTAGAAAAAATAATCCACATGCATCAAAAATGAAGGTGAACTAAGATGAGAGAATTTATTTCTAGCAGACGTACATTACCGGAAATGTTAAAGAAAATTACACGTGCAGAGGAGATCACAGGAAGACTGGAAAAGTGTGAGTGATGAAAAACATTTGGATAAATTTATAAAGCTGTAACAAAACCTCTTCTTAATTTCTTTGAAAGACTTTTGACTTTTTTTGAACAAAAACAACATTATAAGGTCTAATGCATATAGCAGTAAAATATGAAAACAGGACACACGGAATTGGAGGGAGAAACTGGGTGTCATAATGGCAGGGGGTGTCTACAGTGGCAACGGTATACAGCCGTCTCTGCAGAATCCTCTCCCTGGCAAGAACTATAACTGCTGTGGCTGCTCCAGTTGTCATTTACCGACAGCTCACGAGGACGCAGGTGTTCTTGTTATGATGCCCACCACGCAGGTGAGGAGCCCTGCCCGGGAGTCAGAGCCCTACAGGCTGAAGTGTGACTTCCACAGGCCCTTCTGCACATCTTTGATGGAAGCAGGCTGATCAGGCTGAGAACCCAGAACCCTCCCTGACTTCACAGGTGTCCCCCTCACTAGATAACCTCCGCCAGGTGCCCACTGGACCAAAATGTTTCCTAAGAACGCTGAATGATGTGATGGACACAAACCCCACAAGGTTATAAAATATCAGGCAAATGTGAGGTATTATCATCACTGCCACCGCCACCAGCCTGGAAAATCTTAATTCCGTTTTTGGAAATAGTCCAACTTTCCTGAGGGAACAAGAAAATCAAAAATCCCCCTTTCTGACCACTCATTTCAACTGATCCTAAGAAACACAGAAAGAAAACATGTCAAATTCCCTGTTACCCTGACAGTTAACAGGATCTTTGAAAAATAAAATTGTTCTTAAGCATTTATCTAATCAGCTGAAAGGTAAGTATAAACTTCCTTGTGGGCCCCCTGCAGTAGCAACTCCAGAAATACAGACGCAGGGAAAAGGGGCTGATCCCGATTAGGTCAAAAAAAACGTTCCTGTGGACAAACACAACTGCTCCCAATCAGATTCAAAGTTAACAGGTGTTCAAGAAGCTGCATCTTCCAATTTCAGTAGGGAAATGGCTCCCCCTACCGAGGTTTTGGGAGATAACGGCTTCTCGGTATCAATGGGATGCTGTTAACGTATGTTCTATTTTCCGTGACTGTCACATATAATAATAGAATCTATAAGGAGACTAAGGCTTGAGAAGGTGAGGGGCTTGCCCAGTGTCCCCATGCTTGGCGGTGGCGGCACCAGGGAAGGCTCTTCCCGTCTCTTATCCCATCCCATCCTCAGTGCCACCCCAAGGTCAGGGTCCTACCGGCACTTCTACTCCATCCTTGCCGGCCAGCAGCCATTCCCAGCAGGCCAGGGCTGTCTCCATGCCATGCTCGTTGAACATCCGGAGGGGACCCCAGCAAAGATGATGAAGGAGCTGCGGGTCACAATCTGGAACCGAACACACCTCAGTCAGAGGCCTCCAACACAGCTTCCATAGGCCAACAAGAGTTGACCAGCTGGGGCCAACAATGGCCTTTTATTGACTTTCCACTCATGAGAGATAACTCCTCTACTGAGGGAGCTCCTGCTCCTTCTCCTGCCAGGACTCCAGCTGACTATGGGTCATGAAGTCCAGCATTCATTTAGAAATGAGCCCAGAATTCCACGGTGCTTCCGTGAGTTACCTTTGCTGCTAATGAGCATTGCAGTCAGCTTGAACATGGCCTGCGTGTAGTGCTGAGGATGACTGCGGTCTAACGCTGAATGTAGATCCTGGACCATCATTTTGTTCAGGTCAGACATCTGGCCTGTGGTGCCTGAGAACCGAATCATTCCATACACCTGCAAAAACATTCTCATCAACAACTATGCATAGAAGCCAGGCAATGTGGGTGAGGTCCTGGAAGCTACCAGATCACACTTGTGGTGGCAACAGTGGGTGCCTCACTGCCCCAAAGTGGAGCTCATGCATGCAGAGAGACAGGCTCATTTCAATGATGCTACTACTGATCACAGCTTTCTTCTAAAAGAATAGCTCCTCTAGAAATGCAAGTTGGCGGTGCCACCACTGCAGATGTTCCCCGGGGGTGGGAACCTCGTCCCTCATCTTTGTACCCAGCAGTGAGCCCGGGGTCTGACCCACGGTGAGACTGCATGAATGTGAACTGGATAAATACATTTCCTCAGACTCATTAATGACTCAAACAACAAGATCAGCCTCCTTATTAATATTATTATTTTTTGAGAGAGGGAGCCTCGCTCTGATGCCCAGGCTAGAGTGCAGTGGCATGGTCTTGACTCACTGCAACCTCCGCCTCCTGGGTTCAAGTGATCCTCCCACCTCAGCCTCCCAAGCAGCTGGATTACAGGCATGCACCACCATGCCCGTCTAATTTCTGTATTTTAGTAGAGACAGGGTTTTACCATGTTGGCCAGGCTGGTCTCGAACTCCTGACCTCAAGTAATCCACCCGCCTTGGCCTCCCAAATTCCTGGGACTACAGGCGTGAGCAGCCATGCCCAGCCCTCCTTACTATTATTAATAATTTTTTCTTTGAGACAGAGTCTTGCTCTGTTGCCCAGGCTGGAGTACAGTGGTACGATCATAGTTCACCACATCCTCGAACTCCTGGGCGCAGGTGATCCTCCTGTCTTGGCTTCCCAAAGTGCTAGGATTACTGGCGTGAGGCACTGTGCTTGGCCAACCTACCTATTTTTAAAGTCAAATATAACTTTTTTTCCAGAGAAAAGAACATACAAGTGACAGAGTGCTCAGAGGGAGTGAACCCCTACTCAGACCAGGCAACTGATGGACTTTCAGAGTCGCCAGGGAGCTTAGAAATGGTATAGACTAGGCCAGGTGCTGTGGCTCACACCTGCAATCCCAGCAGTTTGGGAGGCTGAGGCGGGCGGATCACGAGGTCAGGAGATTGAGACCATCCTGGCTAACACAGTGAAACCCCGTCTCTACTAAAAATACAAAAAATTAAAAAAATGCCGGGCGTGGTGGCGGGAGGCTGAGGCAGGAGAATGGCATGAACTCGGGAGGCGGAGCTTGCAGTGAGCCGAGATCACACCACTGCACTCCAGCCTGGGCGACAGTGCAAGACTCCGTCTCAAAAACAAAAACAAAAACAAACAAACAAAAAAGAAATGGTGTAGACTAGCTTCTGAGTTTATGGAGCAGGAAATGGAGGACCAGAAATGTGATGCCACTGGTCAGGCTGGAATAAACTGTGGCGTGGTGGGTGAAAGCCCATGATGTGGAGTTGGAAGATGTGGTTCCAGACCACACTCCACTTGTGTGACTCTGGCAAGTTACTTAATCTTGGGAACCTCCGTTTATTTATAAAACTGGAATAATATTACATACATCTCACCAAGTACTCAAGAGCCTATGGCACATAAATGTTTGTTACTGCTTTTAAAAAAAGCCAGAAAAATTAAAAAGCTCCATTCAGTGTAGCCAGAGTGTGCACAGAGTTACCCTCTTGTGGAAAAAATAAGTAACTGTCATAAACACTCTGGAATGTGCCAAGGACTGTAGGCGGCAAGCCACCCAGGTGCCGAGGCAAGAGACCGAGGGCACAAGCTGTTCCAGTATAATGAAATATGTAAGATAAGAATAGTTATACTAGATATAGACCACAGATATGATTATATATGAATATCATTAATCATTACTTTGTAGCAATTACTCTTTATTCCGATATTATAATAATCCTCGCTCTACAATTGTAACCTAGGAGAAACCAGGCCATAAAGTGATAGAAGCTGAAAGGACGCAGTGAGAAGTGACCAGAAGACAAGAGTTGTTATGCCTGGACAGGACAACCAGAGGGCTCCTTGGTCTAGTGGTAACGTCAGCGCCTGGGAAGATGCCTGTTGCCAAGCGGACCGTGGTCTAGCGGTAGCATCAGTGCCTAGAAAAACACCCACTACTTAGCAGACGGAGAAAGGCAGTCCCCCTTTCCCCGGGGGAGTTTAGAGAAGACTCTACTCCTCCACCTCTTGTGGAGACCTGACATCAGTCAGGCCCGCCCACAGTTATCTGGAGGTCTAACCGTCTCCCTGTGATGCTGTGCTTCAGCAGTCACGCTCCCAGTCTGCCTTCATGTTCCATCCCGTACACCTGGCTCTGCCTTCTAGATAGCAGTAGCAAAATTAATGAAAGTACTAAAAGTCTCAGATATGCAGAAATAATGGTGTAAGGTGTCTCTCTCTTTCTCCCTCTCTCTCTCTGCCTTGGTTGCCAGACAGGGAAGGGCCCCCTGTCCAATGGACATGTGACCCACATGACCCTACCTATCACTGGAGATGGCTCACACTCCTTACCGTGCCCCTTTGTCTTGTATCCAATAAATAACAGCGGGGCCTGGCATTCGGGCCACTACCGGTCTCCGCGTCTTGGTGGTAGTGGTCCCCTGGGCCCAGCTGCCTTTTCTTTTATTTCTTTGTCTTGTGTCTTTATTTCTACAATTTCTTGTCTCCACACACGGGGAGAAAAACCCACCGACCCCGCGGGGCTGGACCCTGCAAAGGATCCTCCTAAAATGTAAAATGTGCCCTTTAAATCCTCCTAAAATGTGTGAATTCCACATCACCCGGACCCTCTGTTCATTTTCCACTAGGAAGCAGTCAACAGGCATCAAAACAAGAGGACACTTTAAAGGACCTAGGACGCAAGGACAAGAGAAGAGAAGTACCTCGCCTGCGTAGCGGTTGCGCAAATTTAGGGACGCCATGAAGTTGGAGTAGTCTTTCTTCACACAGGCCGGGCGCTCGGTTAGCTGAGTTGCCTACAGACAAATAACAATTATTTTAGACTATGGTAACATTATCCTTTTCTCATGTTTACCATGGCTAAGCCTAAACCCAATTAAGAAGTCACATTCGGATCTGGGGGTTACTATTAATAAAAATCTTCACTGCTGGCAAGTTAATAAAGCAAAATAGGCCGGGCGCGGTGGCTCAAGCCTGTAATCCCAGCACTTTGGGAGGCCGAGACGGGCGGATCACGAGGTCAGGAGATCAAGACCATCCTGGCTAACACGGTGAAACCCCCTCTCTACTAAAAAAATACAAAAAACTAGCCGGGCGAGGTGGTGGGCGCCTGTAGTCCCAGCTACTCAGGAGGCTGAGGCAGGAGAATGGCGTAAACCTGGGAGGCGGAGCTTGCAGTGAGCGGAGATCCGGCCACTGCACTCCAGCCTGGGCAACACAGCGAGACTCCATCTCAAAAAAAAAAAAAAGCAAAATATTTAGAATACCCAGCAGTTTGATATGTTCCATAAGAAATTTAAAAAAAATTTTACAGAAGAAATGTCTCTGAAAGGCAGTTTCTGCTACTGGTAGGCCTTTGCAAGAGAAAGAATTGCTAGATTGTGAGAGTAATTGTCACCTGCGATGGAAACGCCATGAAAGCATTCACAGCCATCTCCTTGAGAGTTGTGTGGGCAGCTTACAAATGTCACTTACAGACTGTAAAGGGGCTAAAGGGGAGAGCCAAGGCCAGCAGGCTCTTAAACATCTGCTGGCTGCTCCTCAGTCTAATAGGAAGAGACAGAACAGGGTACACCTTGAATACAAAGGCAACCCACAGAATGGGAGAAAAATATTTGAAAACTACCACCCACCCCCTCCACCCCTCCAGCCACTCTCTCTGCTTCAGTCTCAGCCTCCCAGCCCCAGGGCCTCAGTGACCCGGCTTCCTAACCCACACCTTTTAGTTCCTGTTCATCCACGGTCACTGCAGAGTACAGTGTGCATTGAAAAGGACCTCCTTTTGCATTTCCCTTTAGCATTAGTGCTAATGGGGAAAGTGAGCTTCTCAACTGTTTTGAGTTTAGAGGGATTTTTTTTGAGGGGACGTGGTGTGGAGAAAGAGGACCAGGAGAAGAAAACATAGGTGTTGGGGAACATCAAAATGCAAACAAGAACAAAAATACGTGATTTTTCTCATGAAATTATTAAACTGGTTTATTTAAAAAAAAAAATAGATCATGTAAAACTGCTTTACATTTTCTGGAAACAACACGGTCTTTGGCACCAAGCAGGACTGAGTTAGAGCTTGGCTCTGATACTGATCAGTTGTGAGACCCTGGGAAGTCAACGTCTCTGAGCCTCAATGTGCTCATCTGTAAAGTGGGCATAAGAGTGGCCCTCTCACAATGTTGTTACAGGTTCAACATAATGACACACACAATATCCTGGCATGGCAAACAGCACCTGGTGGGCAGTGCAGGCCAGCTCCCTCCCTTCCACCATCGCTCCTCACTGCCCAATGAACCAGGCAAGAGAACGGCAGGTGATTGCCAAGAGCTGCTGCAGGAGTGCCCTGCCCTGCAGAGGAGTGTTGACTCGGTTCTTTGGTCCTACCAGCCTGAAATCATACTTCTGAAACTGCCCTCCAGAGATCACTCTTCCCCTCCGAATGCTGTGTGAGGGGCGATGTCAGTCAGAGGTGGTGGAAGCTGCCCTCTCCCTGTGCTTTCCAGGGGCAGGGTACCTTAGGATTTTGAGCCCAACCCTTTCCTGTTTAGCAACAGAAAGGGAAAACCTGACAGAGCAGTAGGGTGATTCCAGTTAACATTCATCGTTTGTACATTTCAAAATAGCCAGTAGGGGCCCAGGCACAGTGGTTCACGCCTGTAATCCCAGCACTTTGGGAGGCCGAGGCAGGCGGATCACTTGAGGTCAGAAGTTCAAGACCAGCCTGGCCAACATGGTGAGACCCCATCTCTACTAAAAACACAAAAATTAGCTGGACATGGTGGCGCACACCTGTAGTCCCAGCTACTCGGGAGGCTAAGGCAGGAGAATCGCTTGAACCAGGGAGGTGGAGGTTGCAGTGAGCCGAGATGGTGCCACCTGCACTCCAGCCTGGGCGACAGAGCGAGACTCTGTCTTGGAAAACAAAAATAAAATAAAATAAAAAAAATTCACACCATTCTCCTACCCAGCTGGGACTACAGATGCCCGCCACCACGCCCAGATAATTTTTTATATTTTTAGTAGAGATGGGGTTTCACCGTGTTGGCCAGGCCGGTCTCAATCTCCTGACCTCGTGATCTGCCTGCCTTGGGATTACAGGCGTGAGCCAACCGTGCCCGGCCCCAGAATTAACGTTTAAATATTTAAAAAAATTAGTTACAGAAAATCTAACATATCGAATTTTCTGGGGAAAAAGAACAAAATCCTTTAGGCAAAACAGATTTTTCACAAATCAGCTGGTTAGAGTCTAGAAGAGGCTTACAAATGGGAACACATTCTATTTTATGTAATAAAGTTTTGCTCCTACCACCCCCAAAAAGGTAAAGGCTTATGACTGTCATAAACACTTACAGTCAATGAGTTCCACCTCTGGTCTCTGTGGCCACCCAGTGGCAGAGACACCCAGGTCAGCGCACTGATACCTGGTGCCCCATCAGAGTAGGAGGCCTGGGGCGGGTGACCCTGCAGGTGCAGGCTGGACTCAGCTCGACCATGTTTGCTAGGCTGGTGTCTTTAGAGATAGTGCAGTGACCTCGAGGGAAGTGTCCTGATAGCAAAATGAGGCGAGAAGACACCAGCCTTCTCCGGCACAGCTTCAGGCCCCAGAAAGGCCAGAGGGCACTCAGGCCCCTCTCTCCTGCTGGTATCCCAGGGGAGGCCTGTCACCCTTCCTCCTGGGTGCTCAGCCTCTGCACCTCCACATATCCCGTCCCACACTCCATTCGGAGAGAGTTGGGAAGAACACATGGCCAGGCTCTAGATTCAGATTAACCAACAGAATCTCTGTGACCAGCCCCAGTCACATGGCCAGGTGGAACTGCCTGCTTTAATCCTATTTAACTCTAAGCTCTAATTTAACTCAGAAAGTATTGCTGTGTGAACCCTCCGTCCTCTAGATTAATCTCTAGCAGAACAAGAAGCTGAAGGCATTCATGTGCAGTTCAGCACCTGCAGAAAACAGAACTGTTCAGGAGTCCAGTACATGCTCCAGATAAGCGTAACTGTGGCATCGCACTGCCTGTGTCCAGCAGAGCTCTGTTTCCATCCTCTCGCATGGGGACATTCAAATAAAAAACTGATCATTGTCATATCAAGCGCTGATCCTCATAAATCCAAATATTTTAAAAAAAAAAGCACGATAAGGAAACACTCATTTCAATGGCCACCTCTTCTTTGGGCTAGGGTGAGGCTTGCACGACTACCATTGTCAACAGACATCCACAGCACCCTGCATGTACTCGGTGCATGTCATGAAAAGCGACAGCTCTAGGCCTTCCCCTGCACTGTGGCTCCTATGGTCTAAGGGTCACTGCTCTCCAGAAGGCTCGCACATACCCCGAGAGTTGTGTTCTGCTTGTTGTAGCCAGCAAAGTGAAGGATGCTCTCAGTGGCCATGGCCAGTCCTGTGTGCTGGGACAGTCCTGACACCCAGTTCTGATGTTTGTTCAGATATTCCTGAAATAGGAAAAACACATGGGGTTTCAGTTATTTTTTAGAGGCAGGGTCTTCTCACTCTGTCACCCAGGCTGGAGTGTGGTAGCATGATTATGGCTCATGGCAGCCTTGACCTCTTAGGCTCAAGCTATCCTCCCACCTCAGCTTCCCAAGTAGCTGGGACACACCAACAAGCTTGGCTAATTTTGTAATTTTTTGTAGAGATGGTGTCTCACTATATTGCTCAGGTTGGTCTTGAATTCCTGGGCTCAAGCGATCCTCCCGCCTCAGCATCCCAAAATGTCAGGATTACCAGCATGAGCCACTGTGCCTGGCCTTGCTATTTCATTTAAAGGGGAAAATAAAACTTTATAAATTAAGGTGTGGGCTAATGGACCAAACACTGGGTTTCTGTCCTGGGTCTGCCCCTCCCTAGCTAGCTGTGGGACTGTCAGTAAGTCAAAGCCCCTCTCTGATCAGCTACTGCTCATCTGACTGAGGACGAGGCCAATTCCCCAAGCGGCAGTCATGCAGTCACTGCGGTGTTGCACCGTCAACGGGGGAGGGCCATTTATTCTTTCAGCATATCCTTGCTGAGCATCTGCTGTGGTAAATAAGGCAAATAAGCCACAAAGCCTTGGCCTTGTGGTCAACAGACAGGTAGCGTGGTGTGGAGCCTCGGTTCTCCTACTGCAGTATCCTGGCAGCCCGGCCTGGGTGAGCTGGACAGCAGGAACGAAGAACAACACCTGTGTCCACCTGGCCACCCAGTGGGAGAAGGGTGCTGCGCAATGGGATACCTGGCAGAGCCCAGAGGTGTGAGGGAGGCCTCCTGCTCTGGGGACCACAGGGGGCTCAGCACTGCAGGAGTACCAAGGACAAGGGTCTCAAGGGTGAGGGCAAGCCTGGGCCAGATGCAGGCCAGGCGGGAAAGGCCTCCAGGACCATGCAAAGGTGTTTACAGGCGTGAACCAATTAATTCCCTTAAGAAGAATGTACAGGAGCATGTACATGCAGAATTGTCTCAATGGTTTTGGGGGACTCCTGGAGCCTCAGAAACCCATCCTTGGACACCATGGTGATGAAGAGTGACTAATGATCAAGTTTAAAAGGGAAGCACACTGACCAGCTATCCTATTAAAAGCAGACTACTCTGGTGGGTGGAGGAGAGGGCAGATTTGGGGAAGGCTGAGGCTGGGCATGGAGGGTGGGGAGTAAGCGCACTCCAGGGGATGTGAAAGGGCAGGCCAGGGGCACGCCAAGGGGACACCTGGTGGAAAAATCAAGACTGCTTCAAGCCTTTTCATTTTCCATTTCCTTCTTAGGCCAGACATGCCTGAGACAGTAAAAAGCTCTATCAGCTGCTTTTTTTGTCCATTTAAACTTTCTAGGCATCAGAGGGGGCCTCCCCTTTTCAGACGACAGACAGCCTTGCAACCTGAGGCCCTTTTGCTGTAAATGAACAAAGGGAAATCATTTCTTGCCACTGCGCTTCCACACAGCTCCCAGGGCTCTTGGAGCTGGCTGCTCTATCCTTCCTGGATTCCACAACCAGAAACACTTTTGAACTTGTTCCATCTTTAAAGTGCTGCCAAGGTCAATCTCACGAGCAGCTCCTCTCAGCACAACCACTTTCTGTTAACACAGATTCCTTCTAGAGGTATTTTTCTCATCTTTGATTCCTTTTAAGGCAATTATTTCCTCTTACACCCTGTGGCATTACATGGTTTACCTCGTGGTCATCTGAGTTTCCAAGCCCGTGTTTTTGTCTGAGACTCCCATGCACCTCCATGTGCAGCTTATGTGGAGCTTTACTGGGACACAAGTCCCCAACTCTGCCTCTGCTCCACCAGCCTTGGTCAGGCCCCCGCCTTTGGGCATAGGTGCCAACAATGCACTTGGCCCTTAGAGATGCTGCCATCTGGCAGCCTCCCACATCCACCACACCAGCCCGTGCTCTCTTGTGAGCAGCTCCCAAGTCCTGCCACAGTCCTGCCACCTCACCTGGTATGAGCCGTCAGATGCCCTCCTTGTGCCCTGGCCAGCACTCATCCCACAGGCGCTCCTAACACAGAGCAGCCTCTGAGGCATCTATTATTCTCAGGCCCTAGACTGATGTTTTCGGTCTCCATTCACACTAGTGCTATTTGGATTTTGAGTTATCCATGTCTCTGTAAAGCTTTTTGGGGAGCTTGAAGGAGCTTATGGAGACTGCAGTTTGATGGTTTCAAGAAAGTACCTGCAGGTGGGACTTGGTGACGGTAGGTGCCCACTTCATGGCCTCCTGCAGGATCATCCCACAGCGTGCAGCGAAGTCCTTCACAATGCTCTGGAAGGGGGTGAAGTTGCTTCTCAACAACCCAAAGTCGTTTCATCTGAGCTGCTGTAGTGACTGTCATGGGCTGAACGGTGTCTCCCCAAATCCCTATGCTGCGCCTTAACTGGTACCAGTACCTCAGAGCAGAACTCATTTGGAGACAGGGCTTTAAAGAGGTGATTCAATTAAAAGGCCAACAGGGTAGGTCCTGATCCAATCTGGACAGTATCCTTCCTTACACGTGTGGAGGGGAAATCTGGACCCACAGAAATACTGGAGCAGCGAGGAGGGTGTGCACAGAGGGAAGAACACATAAGGACATAGGGAGAAGGCGGCCATTCACAAGCTAAGGAGAGGTCTCCGCAGAAACCAGTTCTGCGGACAGTTTGATTTTACACTTCGGCCCTCAGAACTGTAAGACAATAAATGTCTGTCCTTTAAAGCTGCCCAGTCCATTGTCTTTTGCTACAGCAACCCAAGAGACTAGCACAGTCACTAAGTTTGAACCTCAGGGCGCCTGGGGCCAGGAAGCCCACACACACTGTGGTCTGTAATTCCGGCACAAGGTTTGTGGCAGAATCTACATGAGTAACATGTCACAGAGCCACTGTGCAACTTGTGTCCTGGGTCTGGGACTGGACGGAAGGGCAGGCTCTGGGTGGCAAAATTCTCTTTGGTGCCACACCACTCTGTGGGAAACTCGCCATTGACAGCTGGTCTGGAAGGGAGGTCCAGAGGTAGGATATGACTCAGCCCAGGCTGAAGGAGCTGTGAGCTGAGTTTCAGTCTTGCCACAGTGAGGGCTCTGAGACCGAGTTGGGGAGAGGAGAGACCCAGTATATCCTCCTCTTTTGGAGTGATTTATTCTGCCAGTTTCCCCATGGGATAGCACAAGTCAAAGGCATGTTCCCCTATTACCACAATAATAAAATGTCAGTGCACCTCAGAGAAGTGAAGTCCACCTGAAAATCATGCTTGTGCGATGCAGACTTGAGGCTATAAACTGGCTGGTAGCTGAAGACCTCTTTGGCAACTAAACTGAGGACACAGCTGAGTCAACACGGCTGAGGTGGGAGAGCTGGACTTGGAAGACAGAGCAACCTGGGGGCAGCCAGCTCCCCTTGCACATGATGGGGCCTGGTCTCCTCACTGGCTTGGTCTCCTCACTGGGGGATGTGGCCAGTACCACCCACACCTCAAATTGCTGGGGACTGGGTAGCTCATGCAGGATGACCACCTTGTGGACATATTCAGGGAACTGTGGTAAAGATGGCCCTTAATGCAGGGGATCGTGTCAGGCCTACCTCACGGGCTTCATATGTGTCAGGAACCGTGATCCGATAGGGGGCGTCGGGGATGTCATAGTAAGGCTGGTCCTTGTGAATATCCTGCAAGTACAGCGAGACTCCGTCTTGCAAACTGCCTTCCCCAAGTTGCCACTAGCAAGCACATGGGCCACCCCTTCCCACCAACTGTCTGTCTGTGACAGGCCTCCATACTTGATGCAACTTACTGCAAAACACCAGGTGAATTTGGGCCCCCTCACCCCCAACTCGACACCTGTAGCATTAATTAGGTTCAGGCTTATTGTCAGAGAAGCAAGCCACAACACAGGGCGGACAGGGCTGGCGGGGTGGTAGTAGTGCGGGTAGTGTTTGGGCCCTAGGTCTCCTGGGGACACTCACAGCGCTCAGGGACAGTGACAGGGTCTGCAGGATGTCCAGCATCGTCTTCAGCACAGTCCCGCTCCAGAGCAAGTGGGGAAACCTGCACCAAGAGCCAGCTCTCAGGACCAAGAGCCAAACCTCCAAGGAAGGTCTGCTTCTAGGAACCCCCTCAGCTGCCAGTCAGAGCCCATACCTGCTGCAGGCCAGCTGAAGGGGGAGGTCGGGAGGCCTTTGCAGCAGGATGCCTTGCCTCCTCAGGCTCACTGCAGCAAGGTGAGCAGTGCCTGGTCAGAAAGGCTCCCCAGGCCCCTGCCAGACCCACTTCTTAAGGCCAGACATGTTCCAAGTGACCTGCTATAAACCTGACACCAACTGCCTTGGTTATGCACTGGCCAGGACACCCCTCACTTCCCAAAGCAATCCTCTTAGTTTCTGACCAGGGTTCTCCATTATTTCTCACATAATGGAGAAAACAGCAGTATCTACCTGACACCCTGGGGTAAGACAGGCCATGGGCTCTGATGGCCCCAGGGCTGAAGGAGAGGTGTCTCTGCACAGCTGTGACCCACCAGTGGCCCACTGCTTAGGAGGCCCAGCTCAGACACACACCACGTGTGTGCTGGACTCATTTTCATGACCCTTGGCTGGCTCCTGACTACCCTTGATGGTGCCGCTGCCTGGACCAGGCACACAGCATCTGCAACAGGCTCCAGAACCGCTGGATACCTCTGGGGAGCCGCAGGCAGCCTCCGTGTGGGTGTTTTGCTGCCTCTGGCCTTCTCACCTTGGAGAAGCTGGCCCAGCCCACCTCTGAGAGTTCTCATCAGTGTGGGGACATGTCCCAAGAGGGTCTGTTTTGGCTCCCAGCACAAAGAGTGTATAGCAGAGAAGGGGCTGTGTGGGCTTTTGTTCCTGAGAAGCCCAAAGATACTGATTCTACCAGGGGACCTCAGGCTGGGCCCTGGGCTAGAAGATGGTGCACCAGGTCTTGCCAGGGTACATTCAACAAAATAACTGTTCTTCAAAAGTGTCAAAGTCACAAAAGACAATGACAGACTGAGGAGTCAGGGTGGGTGGGATTGAGAGACACAGTGATGTGGCACCCAGCAAACGTGCTGTAAGTAACATTAACAGCTCAGAATGAACAGAAGTTTCTGGACCAAAATTCAGACACTGCAGCAAACTCATTGACATTGGAGGGAGGCTGCATCGCCTTAAGAGTTTTCATTCTGACTCCATTTTTTCCTAGGCTAATAATACAACGATGATTTTTCCCGGCATTTGAAATCACAGAAGTATATAAACATACACACAAAACATTAGCAGGAAAATGAGCTTACTTATCCACCAGACCAGACAGATACTTGTCTGCCACCCTCCTTATCCTCTTGTGAATGTGGTTAAAGTTCACCAACAGGAACTGAGCGTGCCGCTCCAGTTCCTCCTCGTTCTCCTTGGTCTTGGCCTAGAGATGCAAAAGAAACAGGTACAGCAGTGCCCCAGGTGCCTCCAGCAGACAGACGCATTCATGCAGGAGAGGCTTACTTTATCTGCCATCATGTTCAGGAAGGCATCGAATACTTTGTCTGCGACTGCAATCACACACTGCATCATCCCTGAAACAAGAAGGTTTCCACAGATAAGGTGCAGCAACAGAGAGAGAATACTAGCAACTTTCAATCATTTTCTTTTGAAATGATTTCAGACTTACAGAGTGGCGAAGACAGCACAGAGCTCCCATATACCCTTCACCCAGCTTCCCTGGATTTTAACATCTGCAGTAACCAGGCTGATGTGTCAAAACTGAGTCAGATATTGATATAATCCTATTACCTAAACTTCAGACTTCGTCTGGATTTTCCATGCCTCCCACACGTGCCCCTCTTCTGTTTCAGCATCCAACCCAGGACACCAGATGGCATTTAATCTCTGTGTCTCCTACTCCCCTCCAATATGTGGTGACTTCTCAGTCTGTCAATGTCTTTTGTGACTTTGACACTTTTGAAGAACAGTTATTTTGTTGAATGTTCCCTAATTTAGGTTTGTCTGATGCTTGCCCACGATTAGACCAGGGTTACAGGATTTGGGGGAGAACTCCATAGAGTGGATGTGCTCTTTTGTTCTGAGATCGAGTCTCACTGTGTTGCCCAGGCTGGAGTGCGGTGACACGATTTTGGCTCACTGCAAGCTCCACCTCCTGGGTTCACACCATTCTCCTGCCTTAGTCTCCCGAGCAGCTGGGACTACAGGCACCTGTCACCATGCCTGGCTAATTTTTTGTATTTTTAGTAGAGACAGAGTTTCACCATGTTGGCCAAGATGGTCTCGATCTCCTGACCTCGTGATCCGCCCGCCTTGGCCTTTCAAAGTGCTGGGATTACAGGCGTGAGCCACCGTGTCTGGCCCAGATATGCTCTTTCTGCATCACGTAAGGGGTATGTGGTAACAGTATCTCTTATTACTGGTGAAGCTAACCTTGACCACTTGGTTTGAGTTACCATTTTTCCCTTTTTCTATTTTTTTTGAGACAGGGTCTCACTTTGTTGCTCAGGTTGGAGTGCAATGGTGAGATCATAGCTCAGCTACAACCCTGAACTCCCAGGCTCAAGGGATCCTCCCACCTCAGCCTCCCTGGCGGCTGGGATTATAGATCTACACCACCATGCCCAGCTAATTTTTAAATTTTTGTAGAGACTGGGGGTCTCACTATGTAGCCCAGGCTGGTCTCGAACTCCTGGGTCAAGCAATCCTTCTCCCTCAGCCTCCCAAGGCTAAGATTACAGGTGTGAGCCACCATGCCCGGTCCCCTTTCTCCATTCTTTTTTTTTTTTTTTTTTTTTGAGACAGAGTCTCGCTCTGTCGCCCAGGCTGGAGTGCAGTGGCGCGATCTCAGCTCACTGCAAGCTCCGCCTCCCGGGTTCACGCCATTCTCCGGCCTCAGCCTCCCGAGTAGCTAGGACTACAGGCGTCCGCCACCTCGCCTGGCTAGTTTTTTGTATTTCTTAATAGAGATGGGGTTTCACCGGGTTAGCCAGGATGGTCTCAATCTCCTGACCTCGTGATCCGCCCGTCTCGGCCTCCCAAAGTGCTGGGATTACAGGCTTGAGCCACCGCGCCCGGCCCCCCTTTCTCCATTCTTTAGAAGAAAGTCACTAAGGACAGCCCACACTCAGAGCCAAGGAATTAAGGGCTACCACCTGAAAGAAATTTGTGGATGAGAATTACAGCCACCATAGTGATTGATATTTTGGGGAAGATACTTTGAAGTTATGCAGAGATCATGTTTCTCTTTAAGATTTTGCCCATTCACTTTGGCATCCATGAATGAATTCTGCCTGCAGTAGTTACTATGGTTGTCACAAGAATTTTCTATTTTCCTCGTTCTTTCTACTTTTTAAAAAGTGTTGGCCAAGCACGGTGGCTTACGCCCATAATCCCAGCACTTTGAGAGGCCAAGGTGGGTGAATCACGAGGTCAGGAGTTCGAGACCAGCCTGGTCAACATGGTGAAACCCCGTCTCTACTAAAAATACAAAAATTAGCCAGGCATGGTAGCGCACCACTGTAATCCCAGCTACTTGGGAGGCTGAGGCAGGAGAAAGGCCTGACCCTGAGAGGCAGAGGTTGCAGTGAGCCGAGATTGTGCCACTGTACTCTAGCCTGGGTGACAGAGTGAGACTCCATCTCAAAACAAAACAAAACAAAAATTTATTTTTTAGGGACAGGGTATCACTTTGTTGCCTAGGCTGGTCTTGAACTCCTGGGCTCAAGTGCTCCTCCTGCCTTGGCTTCCCAAAATGCTAGGATTACAGGCATGAGCCACTGTGCCCAGCCCCTTCTATTTTTATTAATAGTAGTTGGAATTCTGTAAGGAAGGTTCAGCCTTTTTCTCCATTTTTAATTTATTCGATAGTCTAATCATTACAGAACCGTGGATTTTTATTTGTTGGGTTATAATCCAATACCATTTATTCTGTTCAAATCATTCCAGCTTTGGCCACTGGGAGTTCTTTCAGGCTGGCTCCTGTGTCATTTGGACAGGCCCCATGTCTTCTCTTTTCTTCTTTATTGGTGTATCCTTACTTTCTGGTGCAACAGGGTGCCCCAGGCTCATCCTGTACAGGCTCCCTAGAATCAACCATTTCTCCATGGAGCCCTGGTTCCTTTTATTGGAGAATACTAATTAGAAACCAAGATCTGAGCACCGGATATGCTCACTGTTACAAGGGTGCCAAGTAGGCTGTAAAAGGCAACAGAATGGGCCAGGCACAGTGGCTCACGCCTGTAATCCCAGCACTTTGGGAGGCTGAGGTGGGTGGATCACTTGAGGCCAGCAGTTCGAGACCAGCCTGGCCAACATGGTGACACCCCGTCTCTAGTAAAAACACAAAAATTAGCTGCGTGTGGTGGTGCACACCTGTAATTCCAGCTACTTGGGAGGCTAGGGCACAAGAATCACTTGAGCCTGGGAGGTGGAGGTTGCAGTGAGCTGAGATTGTGCCACTGCACTCTAGGCTGGGAGACGGAGCAAGACACTGTCTCAAAAAAAAGAAAGAAAAGAAAAAGCAACAGAACACAGTGATCAACACAGTGCAGATGAAGAACTGTAATAAAATGCCAATTCACACTCCATCATGCTGTTTTCTCTATCCAGTGTTTTTAATTTGCATGACTACATGTCAGGTCTGCCCTCTGCCTCCAGGCAGAGAGACAAGGCAGGTGCTATCAGCTTTGCACCTCATGCCCAGCATGGAGCCTGAGACATAAAGAGGCCTTTCATAGATATTTTTTATGAAGGTAAGCGGGACCTCAGCAATCTGAAAAGTTGTCAGTGTGACCTGGACAGATGCTCAAGGGTAGTGAGAGGCTGCTTTCTTTTTTTTTTTCTGAGACAGAGTCTCGCTTTGTCACCCAGGCTGGAGTGCAGTGGTACGTTCTTGGCTCACTGCAAGCTCTGCCTCCCAGGTTCACGCCATTCTCCTACCTTAGCCTCCTGAGTAGCTGGGACTACAGGGTGCCCGCCACTACACCCGGCTAATTTTTTGCATTTTTAGTAGAGAGGGGGTTTCACCATGTTAGCCAGGACGGTCTGGATCTCCTGACCTTGTGATCCACCCGCCTCCGCCTCCCGAAGTGCTGGGATTACAGGTGTGAGCCACCATGCCCGGCCAATTTTTTTATTTTTAGTAGAGATGGGGTTTCATCATGTTGGCCAGGCTGGTCTCGAACTCCTGACCTCAGGTGATCCACCCATCTCGGCCTCCCAAAGGGCTGGGATTACAGCCGTGAGCCACTGTGCCCAGCCTGATTTTTCAACAAAAGAAAAAATGGTACAAGTAGTTATCAGAAATAATTTCTCCATAGGCAAGAACAAGTTGATAGATTCACCAACCTATCAACGGCTTCCGGTGCGGAAAGGACTACACACTGCTAGTTGCACTTTCATTAATATTAAATTTGTCAATCTCAAGAATTTATCAATAAGCATGCCTCAAAGAATTTATTCATACAGTTAATCAAAATTTGTGGATTCTCCCCAATTCTCTTGCACACTTAAACATGATTTCACCATAATTACAAAAATAATCAAATTATTCTAAGCATTTAATTAAAACTCAGGTCTAATATTTCAGCATCTTTTAAATTTTTGATTTTAAACACCTTATAAATCAGACTTCTTAGTGCCCTTACACTAAAACTGGCCAAAAAGTGCTTCTATGCAGTATTTAACTTTTTCCTTTGTTGTCTCTATTTTAATATCTTTTTATTGTCTAAATACATTTTTATAAAACTACTTATTAGCCTTTTGTAATTTTAAAAATTTGAGGTATAATTTGCATATAATAAAATCCACAGCTCTTATGTGTTCAATTCCATGACTTAACAACTGTATACACTCATGCGACCACTACCCAAACAATCTAGAGGACACTTCCATCAATCCAGACAGTCTCCTTGTACTCTTCCCACTTTCCATCTCTCCTTTTTATTCTTATCTTAGCTTTGTCTTCATGGGGTTTTGGTAATTGTAACATTTTTATGCCTTCCTACAGTTTCCACCATTTCTCTGTCTTCCTAGGAGTTGGTTTTCTGGGCTAGGGCTGTTAACAGCTGAGGCCCTCTGTGCACTCAGGGTCTGACGACAAGTTGCATCTAGAATGCAGTGGCATGATCATAGCTCACTCTAACCTTGAACTCCTGGGCTCAAGCGATCCTCCCACTCAGCCTCCCGAGTAACTTGGGACTACAGGCACGAGCTACTGTGTTCCCTGCTCCTGACGTTAAAAAACCATGACTGCTCTCTGGCAACAGCAAGATGCTGCAGGTCCATCAGTGACCATCCGAGAAGCCCTGGTCCCTCTAGATGAGTGCTGGAGCACACCTGAGCATAGACAGTGGGCTAGAATGACCATCCTTCTTTTTGGGGCCCTTGCACCAGTGGCAGAACCATTAAGGTGTACATTTGAAGGTTATATGTTTTATACTGATCTTTCTAATGTAGTATGTAACTTCATAAAACATTTTCTACATGTAGACAGAAAAGAGGAAGTAGTACTCCTTTTTATCCTATTAAAGCTCAATTCATCATGAAAGCACCACAATAATGAGCTTACCAGATTTGTCTTTCTGAATAGCTTTATCCTCAAAGTAGCAGAACATTACCTGGAAGCGATCAGGGTCTGTTGAACGCAGTACCCTAAGAAGAAAACAGCTTTAGATAAATTTTGAAAAATCCAGGCCCTCCCTATCACAGATTTGACACCGCCCATAAGTGGTAAGGCTGTGAAGAACATTTGCCTTCTGCCATTCATAAGGGCGTACGCTGACGTGGACTTTCTGGAGGGTGACGTGCACCATCTATTACACATTCCCATATTTTTCACTCCAGCAGCCCCACCATTAGGATATATCTTAAGGGTTACATGTATAAGGATTCTCCTAATAGCACTGACGGCATTACCCAAAATGGAAAGACTCTGAATGTCCATCAACAGAAGACTGGGCAGATAAGCCAAAGTACACCCATTCGATGACACATCATGCAGCCACCATACGAGAGGCAGCTCTCTACATGTGCTGTTACAAAAAAATGTCCGAGACATATATTAACAGAAAAAAGCAAGCTGCAGGGAACACATGTCCAGCATGATCCCACTGACAGGTTTCCTAAAGGCCTGTCTGTGCATGTGTATGTGTAGGCTACGCATGCTTGCCTATGCACAGAAAATTTCTAGAGGGAAATTAAGAGGCCATTAACGGTAGGATAGTAGAAACGAGGTATTCACATCTACAAAGGTGACACCTGTCTTTTTTCATCTTTAGCATCTTCTGTACTACTCCAGTGTTTCCTCTTTTCTTTTTTGTTTTACGCACCCTGTACATTTTTCTTTTATGGTAAAAAATATCTTTAACTTCAGGGGGAAAAGGAGAAAAAGAAAAAAGCGCATACACTTGTCCCATGGGTGCTGTGAAGGGCTGTTCAGAGTTTCAGGGGCGCCACTAAGGCAGCAGCGGCTTGGCAGGCCACGTCTTTTGGCCTCTGCGCCAGCCTGTCAAGAGTTAAGCCTCAAGAGGGCAGGCCAGGTGGCTTTCAGCACACGCATTCGAGTGTGCACGTGCACACACCTTTAACTTCATTTCCCAAATTCTCCACTTCATGGTTTTAAAGTTCTCTCAATACCCAGTGGCTGGGAACCTGGGCCAGGTTCCTGAATATAGGCTTTGAGGTTGCCTCTCTATGCTAATAGAGTGCCCTCAAGGGCCTGCTAGGCAGCCCGAGGTGGAAGGTGGGCTCACAGGAGCTGCTATGGGCTGCCTCTTAGAGTCTTCCTCTGCCAGTCAAGAGCCTGTCCTGAGAACCTGAGAAAACTACTCAGGGGCATACTTGTGGGAAAGGCAGAGGTAGCTTTGCCTTCAAACCACATGAGGTTGAGAGGGTCTGGAGATACCTCTTCTAGCCACACATGCTGGGATGAAAGCCATTGTTTTTGCTCTGTTTGGGTCTGGCTTGTTTTGTTTTGGCTGTTTTTTCTTTGAAAATATATTGTTCAGAAAAAAGACTACAAGCAGCTATACTAACAGGCTATAGGGGATGATGGTGAGGTCAGTGATTTTTTTCTCTCTCTACTTATTTTGCAAGATTTTGCATAAATGTTCTGTTTTTCTGAGACGGTGTCTTTTGCCTAGGCCGGAGTGCAGTGGTTTGATCATAGCTCACTGCAGCCTCAACATCCTAGGCTTAAGCAACCCTCTTGCCTCAGCCTCCTAAGTAGCTGGGACTACAGGCATGTTCCACCACAACTGGCTAGGTTTTTTTTTTTTTTGGGAGGGGGATAGAGACAAGTTCTTGCTCTGTTGCACAAGTTCAAAACTTCCAGGCTCAAGTGATCCTCCCACCTCCCAAAGTGCTGGGATTATAGGCATGAGCCACTGCCTAGCCATTTTTTTTGAGATAGAGTCTCACTCTGTCGCCCAGGTTGCAGTGCAGTGGCGCCATCTCAGCTCACTGCAACCTCTGCCTCCTGGGTTAAGCAATTCTCCTGCTTCAGCCTCCTGAGTAGCTGAGATTACAGGCATGTGCCACCACGCCCAGCTAATTTTTATATTTTTAGTAGAGACGGGGTTTCACCATGTTGGTCAGACCGGTCTCGAACTCCTGACCTCATGATCTGCCTGCCTCGGCCTCCCAAAGTGCTGAGATTACAGGTGTGAGTCACTGCGACCGGCTGCACTTAGCCATTTTTGTGTAATGTTCTTTATTTTTGAGATGGAGTCTCGGTCTGTCGCCCAGGCTGGAGGGCTGTGGTGCGATCTTAGCTCACTGTAAGCTCTACCTCACCTCCCGGGTTCATGCCATTCTCGTGCCTCAGCCTCCCGAGTAGCTGGGATTACAGGCACCTGCCACCACGTCTGGCTAATTTTTTGTATTTTTAGTAGAGACGGGGTTTCACCGTGTTAGCCAGGATGGTCTTGATCTCCTGACCTTGTGATCCACCCGCCTCCGCCTCCCAAAGTGCTGGGATTACAGGCGTGAGCCACCGCGCCTGGCTGCATGTGCAATGTTCTTATATTACTTTTATAACTGAAAATAAAGGACACTTTTTTCTTTTGAGATGGAGTTTCGCTCTGTTGCCCAGGCTTGAGCGCAGTGGCATGATCCTGGCTCACTGCAACCTCTGCTTCCCGGGTTCAAGTGATTCTCTTGCCTCACTTGAGGCAAGTGAGGCAAGTGAGTGGCTGGGATTACAGGCGTTCGCCACCACGTCTGGCTAATTTTTGTATCTTTAGTAGAGACGGGGTTTTACCATGTTGGCCAGGCTGATCTTGAAACTGACCTCAGGTGATCCACTCGCCTTGGCCTCCCCAAAGTGGGGGTTACAGGTGTGAGCCACCATGTCCGGCCAAAATAAAAGACACTTATAATGAAAAAAGAACAAAGTCAAAACTCCCTTGACTCTGTGGGATTTGGGGAGAATGGGTTTCCATATTTGGCTCTGTGGGGAGCCCTGGGCTGCTGAGGGCAGGGCGGAGGAGACTGAGCAGGAGGGTGGGGGTGCATTCCGATGCAACCAAAGCACTCTGCCTTCCTTTTATGTATTGAGCTTTCAAAGACTATTTTACCAGAGGGTTGGTGGCAACAAAGAAAGGCTAAAATAGTGTTTTCCAAATAGCCTTTCTTTTAGGACACTTTCTTTTTCAAATCATTTGTGAAAGGAATTATTCTACGACTTATCTGCACTCTCCTATGACTTAAGCTGAGTGTAATTTGACCTTTTCTTGATGACAGGAATCATCATTTTGTAGACAATGTACTCAGTTGCTAACCCAGGGTACCTGAGGCCTCAGCACAGTAGGTCTGTATAACACCGCCTACCTCACAGGCATGTCGGGAGTGGTAAACGTGGGTAATGCAGCACAGTACCTGGTACAGCACAGGCACTCAATCCACGTTTACTTCTGAGGTCAACATGATAACAGCTGTAGCTCCAAAGAGTTACTACTGCTGTTAGGACTGCTGTGGCCACAGGTGTGTCCTGAGCATCGGGCCACATGCAGGATTGTTTTGGAGCCGGCCCCACCTCATGTTGCATTTGCTGTTTGTACTCAACCGTGGTCCTGGGCAGCTCAGTGAGTGCCCTAGACACGCACTCAGTGAGGCTGGGTCCTCAGAAGGGCCTCGCTCAGCCCGTGGGCTGAGTTCACAACACTGACTGCGACTGCCCAGAAGCCTGTTTCCTATTAGAGAGGCGATAAGGCGGAGCTTAGATACTGGGAGGTGTTACCAGATGTGGTACTTGGTGGTCATGAATGAGGGGCATACGAGAAAAGTAGAAGGTGTTTTTGCTTGGTTTTTCAGAAAGTTTGCATGTCTTGGGAGGAGTTGAAAAAAGTCTCACGCTTACGAGGGCACAAAAATGAAAACCTTGCTCAAATGTGGATGTGCATGGTGGTGAAGGCACGTGTACCTCATGTACTCCAGCCGGTACACAGAGAGGAGGTAGGTGGACATGGCGAAGTCCAGCTTGTTGATGAGTGCGGACACTTCGGGAGGGGGGTCCAGCAGGTTGATGATGGTGCTGCGGAGCTCACTCAGCTCAGCCTGGAGGGAGAGAAACATCCAAGGGCTCAGGGGGCACCTCCCAGGACAAACAGGTCCCAGTGGCTGGCAACATGTGTTAATAATGGCAATGAAAGGATCTGCCCTAATTGGCCCAGAGAGCATGGTAAAAGTGAGATGTGAATCCTTACAGGGGTGACCGTGTCGTTCTTCATGGCTGAGTTATACTGGAGGACGGACCGCAGTGGCTCCTTGCTGGGAAAGGTGAGCAGGGGGGACTTGGTGGCTATTTCACAGACCCCTTCGTACCACTCTTCCGGCCAGAGTCCTGCAATAAAGTGAACACAAATGAGGAAATCACCTTGGTCAGAAAGCACAGCAGTGAGGTTGACTGACAATTTCTATAGTCATGGGTCCTTTGAGACAATTATCCCAAAAACTAGGCACACAAATGAGTCTATTATCTAACTTGGACAGACTTTTCCTAAGGTGTGCGGCATTCTCAGCACCCTAAACTACATCTGGGGACAGTAACACTTGCTAATACTTGCAGGAAGAAGCAGCTGCATGTGGACTCATTTAAACATGCTCATATTCATAATTACATGGGCTCTGACCTCACCTTTATCTTCATTCTGCACTCCATCTTCCCCGGGAGAGAGATTATCCCCCTACCTGAGCCCTCCACAGCGAATCCCATCAGAACGGAATATAGCCAGAAGTCCCGGAAGAGCTTCTGTAACCGAGGCTTAGCTTCTTTGATGGGCGGCAGTCGTCGGGTGAGCTGATGTGCCAAGAAGAGAGGGAGAAAGGAGGTTATTTGCTCAGGAAACCCTAAGCCCTGTAGGTGTAAAAGTAACCACAGATTCATTCTCCAAGAGCATTCTCAGAGACTCAGACTGGGTAGGAAAAGGCACACTGAGCAGTGATAATTTTGCCAATAAGCATTGTCCATCCATTCAGGTACTGAGTCCCTAGTGTGCACCAGATGCTGTGCCAGGGAGGAAAAAGCCCTGTTCCTGCACTTGAAGGACTTCCTGTCTAGTTTGGAGGCAGGTGAGCAACAGTTACAGTGGGGCGGAGTTCCCAGAGAAGGTGTCATGGGTCTCAGAGCTAACATTCGAAGAAAGCTTAGCCAGTAGTGGCCGGGCGCGGTGGCTCAAGCCTGTAATCCCAGCACTTTGGGAGGCCGAGACGGGCGGATCACGAGGTCAGGAGATCGAGACCAGCCTGGCCAACATGGTGAAACCCCATCTCTACTAAAAATACAAAAAATTAGCTGGGCGTGGTGGCAGGCACCTGTAATCCCAGCTACTCGGGAGGCTGAGGCAGGAGAATTGCTTGAACCCAGGAGGCAGAGGTTGCAGTGAGCCGAGATCGTGCCATTGCACTCCAGCCTGGGCAACAAGGGCGAAACTCCGTATCGTCCATCCATTCAGGTACTGAGTCCCTAGTGTGCACCAGATGCTGTGCCAGGGAGGAAAAAGCCCTGTTCCTGCACTTGAAGGACTTCCTGTCTAGTTTGGAGGCAGGTGAGCAACAGTTACAGTGGGGCGGAGTTCCCAGAGAAGGTGTCATGGGTCTCAGAGCTAACATTCGAAGAAAGCTTAGCCAGTAGTGGCCGGGCGCGGTGGCTCAAGCCTGTAATCCCAGCACTTTGGGAGGCTGAGGTGGGCAGATCACCTGAGGTCAGGAGTTCAAGACCAGCCTGGCCAACATGGTGAAACCCCATCTCTACTAAAAATACAAAAAATTAGCTGGGCGTGGTGGCAGGCACCTGTAATCCCAGCTACTCGGGAGGCTGAGGCAGGAGAATTGCTTGAACCCAGGAGGCAGAGGTTGCAGTGAGCCGAGATCGTGCCATTGCACTCCAGCCTGGGCAACAAGGGCGAAACTCCGTCTCAAAAACACCAAAAGGTTTAACTTGTGCATGATGCCCAGCTGGACGGGCTGATCCTTACAGACCCCCCAGTGGACGTTGAGCTCCCATCAGTGATGTTGAGTCTGTGGTAAGCGGGGGCTTTGCTACCCCCAAACACTTATAAGCACCCAGTATGGGTCAGGCACTGGGCCAAGGACAGAGAGGTGGGGGAGATGAAGACATCATCTCTTGAGGCAAGGAGGGCACAATGGGATGGGCTATGACACATCACACACAGCAGGCAGGACTGTAAACTGTCACAACACTGCTTTGAAAACAATTCGGTAATATGCATCAGAAATTCTCAATATCGCCACACATATTTCACCCTACATCCCATCCCTGAGAAATCTATCCAAAAAATTTTAAAAAGCTGATTTAGGAACAAAAATGTTGTAACAGCAAAATAAATAGAAACACACTAAATGTCCACCTGAAAGGGGCATTTAAATAAGTTACAGTATATTAACAGTATAATTAATTGGCCAGGCGCGGTGGCTCATGCCTGTAATCCCAGCACTTTGGGAGGCTGAAGTGGGTGGATCATGAAGTCAGGAGATTGAGACCATCCTGGCTAACATGGTGAAACCTCGTCTCTACTACAAAAATACAAAAAAATTAGCCAGGCGTGGTGGCGGGTGCCTATAGTCCCAGCTACCCAGAGGCTGAGGCAGGAGAATGGCGTGAACCCGGGAGGTGGAGTTTGCAGTGAGCCAAGATGGCGCCACTGCACTCCAGCCTGGGCAACAGAGCAAGACTCCATCTCAGGAAAAAAAAAGTATAATTAATTATTTTTGAGACAGGGTCTCACTCTGTTACCCAGGCTGGAGTGCAGTGGCACAATCACAATCACTGCAGCATTGACCTCGATCTCCCAGGCTCAAGTGATCCTCCCACCTCAGCCTTCCCAGTAGCAGGGAGGACAGGTGTGCTCCACCATGTCCAGCTAATTATTATTTTATTTATACTTTTTGAGATGGAGTCTTGCTCTGTCACCCAGGCTGCAGTGCTGAGGCACAATCTTGGCTCACTGCAACCTTTGCCTCCCAGGTTAAAGCAATTCTCCTGCCTCAGCCTCCCGAGTAGCTGGGACTATGGGTGTGCACCACTATGCTCAGCTAATTTTTGTATTTTTAGCAGAGACAGGGTTTCACCATGTTGGCCAGGCTGGTCTCAAACTCCTGACCTCAAGTGATCTGCCCACCTCGACCTCCTGAAGTCCTGAGATTACAGGTGTGAGGCACCACGCCCGGCCTAATTATTATTATTATTATTTTTCCAATTCTAAACTTTTAATTTAAAAGTAAACTTTAATGTTGAAAATGCAAACTTGGGGAGGGGAGAAAGATCACACACAAGGCTGCCAATTCACACTTGGAGGGTTGCACAGCAGCTGGGCAAAGGTGCTCCTCACTTCCCAGACAGTGCAGCGGCCAGGTAGAGGTGCTACTTACTCAATTCCCAGATGGGGTAGCGGCCAATGCCCGGCTTAATTATTATTATTTCTTTTTTCATGCAAACAGACACTTCACTGATTTTTTACATTTTTTTGTAGAGAAAGGCTCTCACTACGTTGCCCAGGCTGGTATTAAACTCCTAGGTTCAAGAGATCCTCCCGCATTGGCCTCCCCAAGCATTGGGATTACAGGCAGGAGCCACTGTGCTCAGCCAAGAATCATATTTTCGAAGACTATTTGGTGACACATATAGAAATCACAATATGTCAAGTGAAAAAAAAGCAAAATGTATAAATAATATGATATAGATTTTTAAAAATCTAAACATATATGCATAGAACAAAGATGGGAAAAAGTAGCCGCATATTAAGATTATTTCTGGGTTGCTAGGGATTTCACTCTTCTTCTTTAATGTTTGTTATTTCCTGGAGCTCTTTCATGAACTTGTTCCTTTTACAATCAAAGGGAGGGTGCAGGTGCCGGTCAAGGGCTTGGCAACCTGTATGGAAGAAGGTTCCACACTTCTGCTTGAAAGTCACCAGGGCACTGTGTCCTTGGGAAGAGTGGGCCAAGACCTGGGGGTGCAGGGTGGGCTCTGGATAGGTGCTGAGGAGGTGGGGAGCTCAGCTCCTCCACGGCTGTGTGGAGGATAGCAGTAGACGGACGCGACAGAGGGCAGGAAATCTAGAGCCGCACACGATGTGGCCACAAAAGGACAGTTGACAAAGGGCTTCCAGTTCAGCTAGCGGCCAAGGACGGTGAGAGTAAGAATACGCAACTGTGGGACTCACTGGCTCTGAAGTGATCAGCCTCCCTGGATAAGCGATGGTGGAGATATGAAGGGGTTTCCAGGCTGCAGAATTCAAGGCCTATGTGGCTAAGAGGTTCTGGTACCTTCTAAAGAGAACTAGACTTTGGTGGTTATGGAAAGGGTCAAGCTTCTAGAATGCTTCCCTCTCAATGAGAACAGCAGCTCCACGTGGCTGGGAAGCTCAAAGTGGTTTTGATACAGAAAAGAGAAAGTGGACTCTATCTTTGATTTGGGATCCTACTCCTGACCCTGTGAACTTCTTGGCTCCCTCCTGAGGACTCCGGCTTGAAAATGGCCCTGTAGGTTCTCTCTGCTCTTTGACTTCTCCGGGCCTGCTGGCCACTGTCTTGGCTGAGACTGCTCTAGTCTCCAGAAAGGAGACCTGCTCGCTCCTAAAGAGTATCAAGGTCAGGCCACACGTGGTGGCTCACACCTGTAATCCCAGCACTTTGGGAAGCTGAGACAGGCAGATCACGAGGTCAGGAGATTGAGATCAGCCTGGCTAACATGGTAAAATCCATCTCTATTAAAAATACAAAAATTTAGCCGGGTGTGGTGGCATGCGCCTGTGGTCTCAGGTACTCGGGAGGCTGAAGCAGGAGAACAGCTTGAAACCAGGAGGCTGAGGTTGCAGTGAGCCAAGACAGCGCCACTGCACTGCAGTCTGGGCGACAGAGTGAGACTCTGTAAGACGAAAGAAAGAAAGAAAGAAAGACGGAAGGAAGGAAGGAAGGAAGGAAGGAAGGAAGGTTGGTCAGGGGAGAAGTGGAAAGACTGAAATAGATAAAGGATTCTAAAGAGATATAACAGCCAAATGCAATGCATGAAACCCTGACCAGATTAAAAAAAAAAAGCCATAAAATACAAGTTTGAAGTCATGGAGTAATCTGAGTTGGACTAGACATGTGATGTATGTGAGGCCTGTGATCTTCCCAGGAGTGAGGTAGCACAGCACAGGGCAGAGACCCTTCCATAGAAGAAAAACACTGGTGCTAGTGCCCAGGGCAGAAGTGAGTGATGTCTTCTCACCTTCAAACACTCCAGGAAAATAGCCCCCAACACATAGAATTAAGTGGACATGGCAAAATATTAACTATTCTACCTAGGTTGTGGGTGTATGGATATTTAGTATTCAATTATTCCGATTTCTCTGTGTACGTATATGTATTTTTTTAGAGACGGGGTCTCACTCTGTCGACCAGGCTGAAGTACAGGGGTACAATCATAGCTCACTGTACATGCTCAAGTGATCCTTCTGCCTCAGACTCCTGAGCAGTTGGGACTACAGGTGTGTAGCATCATAGCCCAGTTAATGTTGTTTTTTTTTTTTTTTTTTTTTTTCTCTTTACTATGCTTATTTCTGGATTTGGAAGCCATTGAATTAAGGAGTTCATGTACTACTTTTTTTTTTTTTTTTGAGATGGGTTTTGCTAGCTGGGCGCAGTGGCTAATGCCTGTAATCCTAGCACTTTGGGAGGCCAAGGCAGGCAGATCATCTGAGGTCAGGAGTTCAAGACCAGCCTGGGCAACATGGTAAAACCCTGTCTCTACTAAAAATACAAAAATTAGCCAGGCATGGTGGCAGGCGCCTGTAA